AATTCCAATTTTCGGAATGGAAAGCCTACGGTATAAGCATATATTTTATAGAAGTCCAACATTTCTTTCCCACCTGAGGCACTGTCGCAACATCTCCTCCTACATTTTCATTGTGCAATACGTTCACAACGTTCTCGATATCACAGTCCGATAATAAATTGTGATTCTCATCTTCTATAATTTCTTTTCTTGAATAGAATAAAAATGAGTGATGTATAAAGGATTAGCAGTCACTAATCCCTCGAAATATATGAATAAAAAGTTATTTGACTATTTATAAACAATTTATAAACATGAGCCAAACAATGGCTAAAGTGATGAATGAAATACTTATCTGAAATTTGTCCTCAATAGTTTCTCTAATGTGCAAGTGAAATAAAACAAAAATTAACCAAAGGAAATGAATTACGCTATGTTAAAGCTTTGATATACCATATCAAACTAATCTTTCCAAAAATTACAACTCTTGAAAGACAAAAAACTAAGACTAGTTATCCGTCGTATTTTTGGTTTCAACTGATTAAGACTAGTTATCCGTCGTATTTTTGGTTTCAACTGATTCTTCAAACATATAGATTTATGCGCCAATTAAGTTGTCAAAAATGAGCTACCACACCACCAATTGCTAGACCTTACAATTCTGCTATGGGTAACAAGCAAAGGATGAGAAAATATGGAATCAAGTAACCACTTATGAATAAATTTCAAGCGGAACCAATGTATTAGCTAACCAATTTAGAATCCAAGAAGGAAAATACATTTGTCTGCCATTTAGGGTTAGTACAGCTTTCGGAATTGTTGATGAAAATGGTTTAGATGTCGGGAACAATTCGATTGGATTTCTTGTTTACAAACTAGCTGGAGTTGCGTGCCGATCGGTTAACTGGATTTTGGCCGGAGATGGATGGGTTTCGAGTGATGGGACTTGAGGGAAAATTTGGGGGAAATTGTGTAAAAGGCTTTCCCTTCCCGGTTTTTGTTTTAACGTCTTTTTCATTTTTTTTAAACTCTGCCACGTCATTTAATTTTGAAACCCTGTAACATTTCTATCCATTCTTCATGTACTCATAGACTAATTCACTTTCCGTTGGCCATGCCAGGATTCTTTTTTAGGTCAACAAATGCTATTTATATATTCATTTAAAAACAAAAACAAATATGCTTTCATATCCTAGGTATTTTTTCAATTTATTTTAACATTTTCTTGTAGTCAAACGTATCTCGTTTATGTGTTGAATGTTGAATCGTTAAACTAGAAATTTCAAAAGCTATTTGAATGGACTCGGAAAGAGTTGAGCTTTACATACTGATATATATGGAGAGGCATGCTTGGTTGGTGTGTTAGTCTTAATGTAATTATATAAAATGAGAGACAAATATTTCACAAATATCAAACACGTTATTTTTGTACAGTTCAATAAAATAAACGTGCCATCAAAATGTGATTCATCTCCTTCCCAAGTTTTACCTCTTGAGGGTCAGACTGAGGGTGTGAACGCTCTATCATGTCAATGAATTTATTTGAAATAAAGGAGCACGTAAATTTTGTGTTAAAGATTCAGATTTTTGTGAAATAGTGTAAATGCGTGTTCGATAAATATTAAAATTGAAAAATTAATCGTTATTGTTGACTTTTATTAGACGAGTGAGGTCCAATAACAATTATATTTTCAATTTTAATTGAACTTTAAACTTAGTCAAAGTGAAACAATCATAAAATATGACCCCCATAATAAATTTGTACCTCAAAACTCCAACAAGGATAATAATAAGCCATATCCAACTTTACCTGCATTCAAAGTTGACATTGACATCAAGATCAAGCGTCACCTTTATTTCTTTTTAATTGCATGCTGATTTAAAATTTTAATCAATAAAATAAATACTTTACTTATTTCAAATTTATTTATACCTTTTAAGCTGAGTTGATCTAACATGCTCTTAAAAATTAAAAATCTTATGTAATAATATTCACTATTAGATATTAAATATGCTTTTTTTAATAAGTCAATAAGATAATTAAGTCCATTATAAGTAAACGACATTATCTTTAGTCTCGACCACGATGGAGCTATGCCTCGATATAATAGAGGGACTAAAGTACAAATTTAACTATTGTTTTAGTCTCATATTTTCCATCGAATTGTATTCTTGAACAGTGATTTGAACTCATTTCAACCACATATTTATCAATGAAATAATATTACACGTAAATCACAAACTTCTCTTTATTTTTTAACCACACATTTTTCATCATAACACTATTACAAAATGCATTTTTGAAAAAAAAAAAATAGAATTCAAAGAAGCCTTAATAATTATAATTATGACATTACAAGATATAAGTGCGATTCAAGACAAACATTAGTTGAGATGCACAATTCAAACCTAGTTGTGATATTGGGCCCTATGGGCCCATCAATTTTATACATCAAACTTGAAAAAAGTGATTAATTGTTGAAGATTGGGTCGTCCTTTGGACGCTCGAAGGTGGCTGCTTAATCAAGACTTTGGGTTCATCAGTCCCCAAATAGATTTAGCCCCCATTTGTTGCACATTTTGAAGGTAAGAATGCATTTTACTGTTGATGTGATGAAGAATATGTGGTTGAAAAGAAGGAAAAATTATTGATATGATGAAAAATATTATTTTATTGAAGAATGTGTGGTTAAAAATAAGTAAAAGAATGAAAATGAAAAAAATAATAATATAGATGGCCTTATTTACTGAGATTTTATGTATAATCAAGATTTATTTATTGAGACTTTGGGTTTCAGCTTTGTAGTGACATTGAAAATTAAATAAACAAGTGTCGAACACTTTCACAGCACATGTTTGCCTTCAGTTTATGATTCTTTTACGAGTTTTCAAATCGCTTTTTATTCATATATTTCTTGAGATTCAAGTAATAATCACTTATCTATATTTCTTTATAATTTAAATCGTTTATAAATAAATCTTACATATGACTAAATCTAAATCACCATGTGAAAGTCCAGTTGTTCAGTGCACTTAGAAAAATTATTGTTGTCTAACACAAATTTTTCATCAAAGTTCTTGACTGGCATTTTTTAATGTGGAAATTACCTCCACACATGGATTAACTTTCAAATTCTAATCAAATTTTAAACTTATTTATTCAAAACTAGGTCATAATTCAGCTTTTAATTTTAATAATTAGTCGGATCGGGCCGGCTTGTGACTTGATGGGACTGATCCGAGGTTTGGGGCAAGCCCATTTTGGGGTGTCGGCCCGTGTGACTCCTCGAGCCAGCCCGTGTGACTTGTCGAGCCTCACAGGTCATATTCAGCCCGTGATGAGGTGAGCTTAAAAAAAAAGTAATTTACATAACATAAAAAGACATTTAAAAAAATATGAAAACAAAGCTGCCTGCGCAGGCAGTTAAAATTACAGATTGTTGCCTCCAATTTTTTTTTTTAACTGTAATTTTTTTATAAGTTAATATTTAGTTATTATTTATAATACGTATAAATTGTACAAATTCTAAATTATTGCAAAAAATTTAGATTTGTTACGAATTTAAAAAAAATCGAGCCGGCTCGGCTCATTAAGGCCTGAGCCGAAAGCTCGGGTTGAGCCTAAATTTTTTGATCAAGCTTTTACTCGGCACGGGCAAAAAAAGATAGAACCATTTTTACTCGAATCGAGTCCAAATTTCGGCTTGCAGTTAGATTCGTTGACACCCCTACAACCCACTCAGCCTAACCCTATTTAACTTTCTACAAGTCACAAAAAAGCCATAAAACAACAATTTTCTTCGGTAGCGGCTCCGACAACATTCGGTAGAAGAAAAAGCTCTCGTGGCTGCCTTTATTTATGGCTTCACTTATCCCTACACGTGATCTACATTAGGGTGATGATTCGGCAGTTCACGACAATACCATTCCCATTTTATGGAATCCAATCCTGAGAGAGAGAAAAAGAGAGAAGATGTTGAAATCAACGAAAATGAGTCCATGGCGGTTGAATTGGAGGGAGGCGAAAATACGAGGCCTGAGGAGATCACGATCGAGATTCTTGTTGTAGTTAAAACTTGGGCAAGCTTTCTTATTTCTTGTGAAGAATTTGAATCAGAGTAAAAGGAAAAGGTTTTGAGCCGATGATAGAAAGCAGTTAATATAGGCTTTGGTGGCGATGGCGATTATGAGGTGTTGCTAAGAAAGAAGCTTCATCTTGTCGCTTACCGAAGCAGTGCCTCGTTCATTAGTGTTGTATAGTGCGGTGGTGGTGTAGGTGTTGTGAGTAGTGGTGAGGTGATGGCGATGGTGGTGCAGTAGTGGTAGTACCTGTGACCTTTGCACATTGACCTACCGTATGGAAATGGTGGTGGTCATAGGTTATAAGTCACAAGTAGCGGTTCATAGGTTACATATTAGATCATTGTACATAGATTACAGATGAATATCCACATCAAATAGAACCAATCACATATCACTAATATATGTTCACAAGTCAAACCTCAGAGGTCACGAGTCACGGGTCATATTGTATTGGTGACAGATCATATGTCACATGTCTTTGTGCACTGATAACAGATCAAAGTTCATGTGCCACAGGTCATAGGTTATTCGCTGATCAAATGTTATATTGAATAGTCGACAAATCAATGTTCACATATCACATGTTCATGAAGAGTGGTCACATCTCATTAGATCAAATATCATAGATAATAGTCTACAGCTCACATGTCATAGTACATATAACACAAATGTAATAGAACTTGTCACACGTCATTGGATAAATATCATAGGTAACAGTTTCACAAGTCATGTATAACAATTCACATATCATGTGTCATAGTGCATAGATCATAGATCCATCAGATCTAATTGCGCGGTGCAGATTACATCTTAATATAAACATGCTCGACTTTTAACACTCATTTCGTCCATAAATATCTCTGCTCATTGCTAGCTTTTGAGGAAGGCAGGCAGTGTCAGTTAAGCTCTACGTGAGCCGTGCTTGCTAAACTGAGTCCATGGGGTTACTTGACCAGCTCTGGGACGACACAGTTGCTGGCCCCCGGCCGGACAGTGGCCTAGGGAAACTCAGAAAGCATGCCACCTTTAGCTTCCGGCCCAACTCCGGCAAAGGTGAGCCTTTGTTGCTATCTTACGCCGGTGATACATCCTCGATCGTAAATGATACCACTATTGAACACGTTAAATCCTTCTGTACATAATATTGTGCAGTAATCATACGTAATTAAGATGAATTTGGATATTGTTCAGTCAATGATTGCATAGGCTTTTAATTTAGGTGGTTATGTTTTAGATTTTCCCCGAATATTAACGTTTTCCAATCATTAACTGGTAAAAAGTTCGGATCGACTAGATTAATATACTTTTGTTATTATTTATCAATCTGAGAAATGGAAATAAGAACGTATAAATTGACGAGATAATCGTAATGGAAATTTGTGTATTCATAAAGGATTGATTGCAATTTCAATTTCATTTTGCTTGCGAAAATTTTAATTGAAATTTGCGTTTACTGGAGCAGATTCAGAAGCTACGAATTCAAGATCTTATGTAGAAGAAGCGGGTGAGGATGCAGTGAAGATTACCAGAAGCATTATGATAGTAAAGCCTCAAGGTGTTCAGAAAGACTCGCCGCCGGTTTCTCCGGCCGGCTCCACACCTCCGGTATCTCCTTTCGCCGGTAAGCCTAGAGTTAGCTGCATCAATTATTTCTCGAATTATTTTTGTATATGCATTACTGTACCTTTTTGCCAAATGGCTTAAACTGCCCTCCGAAAATTTGGGGGAATGGGGTCTAGAAGAATCTGAGAAAGTCTGAAGAGGGTAATTTGGACATTCTATTTTTTCGAGGAATAAATAATGATAAGGGTATTTTAGTCCTTTTCGAAAGCTTTTCAATTTTTCGACAGTAATAATCGGCAATAATAGAGAGATGTTAGGTATGATGGGCCAATTATTTTATTTTTTAATTTTGTACATTTGTGGAATCCACTAGGTTACAATTCATTGTTAAAATAGAATTATGTCTTTGTCTGCTTAGTGTATTCGTGCGTGGCATTGCTTAAAAAACACGTAGTTGACCCGGGAATTTGCCAAGACTTATATGGGTTTAGAATTTTTTTTTTCTAAACGGACCCGCCCAGGCCCCACTGTTGTCACGGTCTACGTGGCCCTGTCCATGTAGCAGAGCTTGACTTTTATTGGCAATAGTTATTGCAAATTTGATCTCTATGTTGCCCACCTGCCAACGCGACATAGACAAGTCAAGCAATTTTTTTTTTTGATTTGTCAAAAAAATAACGGTTTGACCATAGGTGGCAAAGTTTATCCTACCCACTTTTGTCACAAGATCATGTCTGAGTTATTATATGGTTTATCTCATTGTATAAACCCATATTTGGGTAGGGATGGCAACGGGGCGGGGCCCTCCTCGCCCCCCGCCCCGCTCCGCTAAGAAATTTCCCGTCCCGTCCCCGTTTAAATCGGGGCTGGGCAGAGAGGGCGGGAGTATGTCCATTCCCCGTTTAATTTTTTTTTTTAAGTTTTTGATAATTTATTTTTATTGACCATATTCATTAGATTTGGACAAATAATTTTAGCTGCTATTTTCTGTTAGAACTAATAAAAAATTTCATTTAAAGTATTGAATTCTAAAAAAAAAAAAAAAAAAATTTTCTTTAAACGGGGCGGGGACCCCGTTACCCGTTTAAGCGGGTTTTTCCAGCCCCGTTCGAGGTGGTGCTCCGCGGGTATTGGGTTTGTCGGATTTTTTTGCCATTCCTACAAAAAAGGTTATGGTAAGTTTTCGATTGGTCATCTATTTTTTTTCTATTACTAATCTTAATCAAATTTACTATCGAAGATATATGAAATAAGTAACTTAAAGCATAACATAAAGTTTGGTGACCATTTTTTATCAGAAGAAATTGGGATCAAATTGGAACAACCACGAAAGTTCGTTGAAAAGTGTAATTTTAAACAAATGTTCTTTTCTTCATCTTTTTCTTAATTTGCACAATAATATATGAAGTTATCATTGAAAAAATGAATTAAGCTCTTTTGTTAGAAAGAGTTTGCAACCCTTATTGACTTATACTCACATGGAGCATAGTAGCATTGTGAAAAAATTTGCAAACTATAATGAGTGTACTCTTAAGGAGCATAGTAGCATTGTGAAAAAAAATTCCAAAAAAAATGCTTCTCTATTTTGAGTGTACTCTTAAGGAGCATAGTAGCATTGTGAAAAAATTGATGGTGACTGGTAACTAATTTTTGGA